TGTGCAGGTTCAGTTTTATTGAGCTCAACAGGTCTGTCTTTCAAGGGCTCTTGCTCTCTAGTGGTTAGGAAAATGGTTGCAGGATATTCGTGATAATTCTTCTCCAGCGGTACTCAAGTAGTCTCATTAGTATTTGTTCCAAATGAAATGGGCTAAGTGACAACTGGGAAAAAAAACATGCAAAGTAAAATTGCAACAGTTAAACAGAACAAATAAGAGGAAAGATAATGGCGGGTGAATGAAAGATTGATTGCAATGAAACCCACACAACACCCGCCAGGGGTGACACGTGCAGAGAATATCCGAGCTGAGCCCCGGCTCACGTGTTGGCGGACATGCAGTAGACCTCAGACTTCCTCCGGCGTTTCAAAAAGGGAGAAGCGAAACTTGCAGAGTGTGTCCTGGCTTGGGAAAAGTGAACTTCGGAAATAAAACCCAGAATGCGATGTGTTTGTAAACAGGGAAATGAAAGTCACCGAATTAAGAGCACAGGCTCCTCTTCGGCTGTCTGTGTCCTTTCGACTCGTGTAGAAGATTGTAATGTTAAAACCATCAAGCATTACATGCTTTGTGTGTAATGAACGAATATTAATTAAGAACCTCCCCTCTATGAATGTATTTCTCTAACTTAATTTGCAATAGACTCTACGTTAGCGTATGAAGTATTTTCAAATCTCACTTAACTATGAAGCGCCTAGATTGTCCCTGTCCCACACACTGGAAGGTGTTATAAGTTATGCTTTTTTCTACTGTGACTCGTGGTGTAAAGTTTCGGTTTTAAATAGGCGCAGGCGCAGAACCTGTTTTTTTTTTCTTTTTAAAACAATTCACAACTGACAGCACGCGGAAATCTGCGAAGCTTGCACATTTTTTTTTTAAAGAACCAGAAAATGGCCAAATCCGTTAAAGACCACATTCTGGAAACGCTGGAAGACCTGGAGGAGAAGGACCTGAAGAAATTTAAAAACAAGCTGTGTGACCGTGAAGGGGAGCCGAAGGTTCCCCGAGGTCGCGTCCAGAAGGCAGACGCTATCGACCTGGTGAACTTGCTGGTCAGCTACTTCACGGAGCGCGGGGCTGCAGAAGTGGCGATCGAGGTGTTGCGCGCAATTAACCTCAACCAAGAAGCGGACGAACTGAAAGCAAAATTTTAAGGAGGTGAGGTAAAGGTATGAATCTGGGGAATGTGAATTTTCCGTGTGAATTTGGCGCCTTGGTTTCCTGAACTTGACTTCTGTTTTGTTGCTGTTTCACTTTCGTTCTCTTCGCTTTCCAAAATAATTAAAAAATAATAATAATTCGATTAGCAAAATGATGACATTCAAGGGCAGAAGAGAGAGCTGCGGCGATTGTGCCTTCGATGCTTCGGGGTCCCGTCTCAAATCGATCACGTTTATCCTGACGTCGCCTTTGCTGTTTTCGTGAAGAGGAAATGGCAGTAAATTGCAACAGTTAATACGGCGGTTTAGCCGGATAAAAACGATTAATGCGAGTTTTCGCAATGGTATTGGTGTAGTTGGTGGTTTTGGCTCATCGGGAGATCTTCATATCACTTTTTTTGGGGGGGGGCATTCAGTAATTTCACCGAATAAAATTACACGACCAAGACAGGGACTAGAAAGCGGAAATAACGCGAATTAAACGATTTGTTTTAAAGTAAAACTTTCAAAGCAGGATTCCGTTTTCCAAACTGTGTTCCAGCTCTGATCTTGACGTCCTCACCCACTTGCTTTAGACGACACATGCACCGAGAATGTAAATAGTTATCTCATTTTTTTTAACAACGCTTCCTCTTCACAGTCTGTGCAGGCTAAATACTGTATAATAGGGTGGAGAACCCCTCTTCTGTGGCTTGTACCGTCCGGCCGGTTTATTGAGAACCTCACAGCCTCGACGAGTGCACTCGCTCGTCTTTAATATATTGGGAGAATAATTAACCCTCTACTGAAGTGGCTGTCAATCCTGATCCGAGGAGGACCAAATTATTTGAACAAAATGATCTGGAAAACAGTCGTAGTCCCAGCGACATTACCTTTTCAAACGAACCCTAGGCGCTGTGATTTACTACAATTAGCTTGTATTTGCCTATTGCTCTCCTTTCAGAATCAAATGTCTGACATCGAATTTGCTTAACTATGTTTGTTTAACTCGTATAGGTCCCTGTCAACTGGCATGTTCATTATTCGGCGGGTCATTAATACGCAATGCCAAAGGCTTATTGGGTGAAAGATGAGGCTAACTTTCAAAATCGACGGTAGCGTGAGAGTTGTTTCTCACTTCGATTTCTTGCATTTTCAGGTGGAGCTGCTCCGGATCCGTCTTCGCTAACCAACTTCGCACACTCCGCGACTTCCGGAAGAAAACACTTGGGCATTCATTTTCCTAAAAAGAAAGCACGGAGCATGGACATGGTGTATGAAGGACAGCTGATTTTTCTCATGTCGGCGTGAGAACACAGCTCGAAGCGGTTTGAATAAAGTTTATAATAAAGTCACTCAAGGTCAACATTCAATACCGCTTCACTGTTCTCTACAGCAATATCCCCAACGGTATAGAAGAAACGGGAGAAAAAAAACCCGTCAAAGGAGGGATGTGTATCAGGGTGGAAACGGACATCTCAAGGGGAAATCCCTCCCCGAATACGTGCAATGAAAATCAGCTATAAGCAATATTTGTTTTGCATTTCACGGAGAGATGAGAACAGCCTGTCAGTAATCTGTAATCATTCCTGACGTCATTTCCCTTTGACTGTCATTTTTCCTATAAAAGTTATAAATACGATACATAATCCCCCTCTGTCCCTTGCATCCCCCCTCCTCGACATGCACTGTGAATGAATCAACCCGATATGTTTGTCATCAGCGCGAAAATTGTGCCCTGTCAGTGTCCCGGCTCAATAAACCTTTTGAATGCGCTTCGCTCTGGGTGTTGTTATTCCTAGTGAGGTTGCACTAGCACACCGTATAACATTTTTATAGTACTGCGAGTCCAAGCAACGGCATGTCTGCCGGGGGGGGACTTTAACACGAACTTCTTTTCGATTTCACCGTTTCTGTTACCCGTGATTCGGTGCAAGGGCGGATAAGAAAAAACCAAGTATCATCGAGAGACTCAATCAGAGAAAAACTCCTTTCTGCTCTCTGCTCCCACTGAATCAGGCTCAAAGATACTTAAGGCTCCAAATCACGGCGCCAATCTGATGCGGATGTAGGCTGAGCCTGTTTATTCGGGAAACTGCCAAGTACTACTGCGAAATAAAGTGGTGTTGTTTTCTTCCCTACACCCATTTCAGCTTGTCTCCGTCCTTCCTGAATGGAACTGGCAAGCCTACCGCATTCCAAGCTCCGTCAGAGAAGAAAATGGAAGAGGAATGTCGGTGAGGTGCAATCATATGCACATGGTCAAAGAAAAGCTGCAGGAGCGCCTATATCTTGTCCACCTGCACGAACCCGAAAGATTGAAGCGTCTTTACTAATAAAATAAGACAGGATGATTCAGTCTAGGAACGCAACATCGCATCACAAAAGAAAATACTTTACACTCAGAGCGAACTGAACTGTGGTACTTTAGCTGTCTGCTTCACAACATGCGTGGTCACTTGCCTTGTCAAGCGCCTTGGGGCAACTTTGTTGTGAAAGGCGCTATATAGAAATAAATTGAATCGAATTGAATTCCCTCGCCTTAGCTCGTAGCTGAACCCGGGCTCTTTGCCTTGCTCATCATATCCAAGTCTCTCTCTCTCCCCCAGGCCTTGGCGCAGTCATGTAAACCCGATTCTCAATGCCCTCACTTATTTTCTGAAAGGCTAAACCGTGTTCAGACGAGCGTTCTGCTTTTAAAAAGGACGGAAGACGAACACAAGCAGAAGGCTCAGCTCGATGTGTTTTCATAACACAATCCGTCCACACGGAGTGAAGCTGCGGACTGTATCCGCAAGGACCTTGCCACTGACGGTTTGAGTTGATTAGTAACAGCCTATTAATTTGCATGTGTGTTTTTTTTTTGAGAGAACCTCACGCCCCACGAGAGACCGAAAACGAAAGAAATAATCAGAGCGAGAGGAGAGAGAGAGAGACATCTGTAGTTTGAAACCGCTCCACATTAACGCCTCTGCTGTAAGTGAAGACTGCCAACGAGAATTGTCCGTACATTTGCGCCCAACGATTGACACAAAATGCCCAAAACCATCAAAGACCACATCATAGCCGCCCTGGAAGACATCGGGAATTTCAAACTGAAGAGATTTAAGGCTAAACTGTGCGACGGCCAGGACCGCAGAATACGCCGCGGAACGATTGAAAACGCCGACCAGGTTGATCTGGCTGAGAAACTGATCAGCACGTACACGGAGAAGATGGCGGTGAAAATCACGATCGATCTCCTGCGCGCCATTGACGAGAACCAGGCGGCCGCAGATCTGCAGGACAGCACGAAGGAATGTGAGTCTAGAGACCCACGGGAGACGTCCTAAAGCCATACGTTCCTGTATCATATATATTTCATATGATTAAATATAAAGTAATTAATAACTGTAGGGTAGTAAGTCAAGTCTGGTCGCCAGCTTAACAGCCTAAATACATTACAACTATAAGATTTGTAACGGAAATTTAACTACGAATAGGAAAACAGATACGCCGTATTGAAGTTTTTCTTAACTTTAAACAAGGGTTAGGGTTCATTAAGTTCAAGATTTACTTTTCTTGCTTTCGTAATATAGATTTCCCGGTGAGAATGGAAGAGTTGAGTTTTTTCAAGTTGCTGGATGCGATAAAAAGCGGAAACAATGAAATGATAACCCCCATTAGATAATAGAAAATATCATATACATTAAGTGCTAACAATGGCGTTTTTGCCCTTGTTGTTTTGACATATTTTAATCTACCCGTGTGCGTCATGCGTTACTAAGGGCA